AGAGAGAGTTCTTCTTCTTCCTCTTCTAAGTCCACCTTCTCTTCTCACCCTCTCGCCACCTGACTTCTCGGACTACGACAGAGAGAGACAGAGTTGTGACTTGAGACTTGACGACATTGGATCCAGACTTGACATTTGGGATTCAGACAGTTCGACGAGGGAATATTTGCGCTTGTGCCAAAGACTTGGTGTTGACGACATTCCCATCTTCCCCCTCCTCTTCGTCTATCCCCTTCCTCCTCGTCTGTGCATGTTCTGGGCTGGCGCTGTCTTCCTGTGTGAAGCGCCAGACCCATTCACACTATGAAACGATGATGATGATGTATGTTCAGGGCTGCATTACAACATTGATTGTTCGGATCACTAGTATCTAAGTCTTCCGCTGTGCTATCTTATACTTTGTATTGAAAGGTCGGTTCTTGTTCTGGTCTGCACCTATACGGTATGCAACAGCCAGGCAGGCCTTGTCTAAAAAGAAAGAAAAAAAAAATAATAATAAAATAATAGAACAAAAGGGAAACGGGTGGTGTTTCTTCGTTTGTTTTCCTTGGACCGAATCTAGACTGATACGTGGACTTACTTTTGTCGTCTCCTATCTTTTTTTTTTTTTTTTTTTTTTTTTAATCCTTGTGCAGGGGCCATGCTAATCTTCTCTGTATCGTTCCAATTTTAACGGATGTCCCGAAGGACACTCTTCTCTCTCTCTCTTCTCCTATCCTACTGCCCTCCGAGTTGTCGGTTAGCATGGAGTTCCTTTAGGCCGGTTTCCTGTCTAGGTGCAGATAGTCCCTTCGGCTTTGTCTGTTTGTTCTTTTTCCCTCCATTGTGTTACCGGATGAGCCTACCGTCTTCCCCCGAACATAACGCACCCTAAAAATGAATGTATACAAGCTATATTTCCGGCCAGATACAGCCAAAATAAGGGTGCGTTGTGTTCAGGGGAAGACAGTAGTCTGTCTGTGCTAGCTCTAGGCTGCAGGGTCCATACGGGTCTGTCCTAGAGAGTCTAGAAATAGGTTGAGGAAAAAGTATGCCGGAGTTGTTTCGTTTTTCCCTTTTACATCGTGTATGGAAGAGGTCGCATGCTCCTCGACTGCGCTGATGGTAGCATCATCTCCACACGCTGCAGCCCCAGCCATAGCTCAGGCCGACCAGCTTATTTGGTGGCAGCACTGGCGGCTAGACGCCCAAGTACCGAAGACAGCTTCCTCCCTCCTAATTGTGTGCCGTTGGGTTCAAGGAAGAAGCAGCATCTCCACGTCTTCTTCGAAATTGTGGCCTTTTCTAAAAAGAAAAAAAGATCTTCCTCTCCATCGAGTTGGCATCCTTCTTCATCATCCTGGGAGATGCACTCCCCTGCTGAAAAGACATATCATCTGCAGTTGGGGTTCCTTGCGCGGTGCAGATTGTTTTGTTGGATTCAGGAGGGTGTGTGGCAAGTGGCGGGCTTGGGAGGTTGGGCGCGCATCTGCGCCATAGCAAGAGCTTGATATAGAGGGAGGAAGAAGGAGACGCCCTGCCAAACCATAACAAAATTGACCTAATTTTATTACCTGGAAAGAAAAGAAAAAGGAAAAAAAAACTGTATGCCACGACCCGGTTTCCAGCCATAAATCATACGAACTGCTTTCAAAAAAGAAAAAGAAAGAAAATGCACTATATCAGAATATCTCAAAAATCGCAGTCGTGGGCATGAAATCAGAAGAGCGTGGGAGGCAACATACTCACAAGGGTGTCCTTCCTTCGGGACATCTGTTAAAATTGGAACGATACTGAGGATGAAGATTAGCATGGCCCCTGCGCAAAGGATGGCACGCATACATCGAGAAATGGTCCACATAAAAAATTAAATTTAAATTTAAAAAAAAAAAAAACATACTCACAAGGAAAGTCTACCGGCCTGGATAAACGATGTACCATCAAAGAACTGGAGAACGAACTGCAGGCTGCGGACAAAGCACCGAGATCAGGACAGGGTTATCCTAGGGTTTAGGGTTTTAGCCGACAGTGAGCCAAGTGCAGACTAAGAGGGTAGAGATGGTTAATGGAAGGCCCAAAATTCGGGGGGTTCGCCCCATCACCACAAGCAATGTCGTTGAAAATTTTGCAAACAAACAATGCAGGCTCATAATACAAACATTAAAAAAAATGAAAAATAAAAAAAAAAGAGGCCCCAAAAAAAAATCAAAAGCACTATAAATTTATAAAACCCTATTCGGAGTAGCTTTTGGAGTTCGCCACTTTTTTTTTTTCCAAATTCGGTGTGTGTTTTTGCCAACTTCTCATTACTGTTCCCAAATATGTCGAAACTGAATACATACAGCTATGTACCCTAAACCACATACATCTCTCTCTCTCTCTCTCTCTCTCTCTCTCTCTCTCTCTCACACACACACACACACACACAAAAAAAAAAAAAAAAAAAAAAACACCAGGGAAATATGGCAGCTCCGATGAAAAAATCGCCCAAAAATGACACCACCTATTAACCATTAGTGACTGAAAGGGATAACTCTGGAGTCTGGACTTGATTTTCATGTATGTTTTGTTGCCGGGTTAATCATTAGAGGGAAGGACTGTCTGATAAGTGGCTGAGCCTCCTTTAACTGACAGCCAATCCTTCCAAAAGGCCGCAATCAATGGCCCGTCAGCGTACCCTGGGTCATAACACGGAGAAGCACATTAAAAAGTTATGAACAGGATCCACACTGACGCTCCCAAGAATAGGAGGAGATTGAGCATGACCATCCTGAAAAAAAACGAAGTAAAAACGCAAGCGATTTACTCTCAACCAGACAGCCGAAGTCCGGTTAGGAGATTGAGCATGACCATCCTGAAAAAAAACGAAGTAAAAATGCAAGCGATTTACTGTTAATGGGCGTCCAACCAGGTTAACTTTGCGTTGTCCGGTCACCACCAGTACCTGGCGTCCAGGTTCTGGATATTACATGGGCTCTTCGTAAAGGTAGGCGGAGAGTACTGAAGTAATGAAACCACAGGGCCCTACCGACTTCCCCCGAACACAACGCACCCTTATTTTGGCAGTATCTGGCTGGAAATATAGCTTGTATACATTCATTTTTAGGGTGCGTCATGTTCGGAGGAAGGCGGTAGCCACAGCGCACCCTAACCACTCACAGGGCCCAAACACTAGGGCCCTAGCCACAGACGCGCCCTAACCACAGGCCCATGTATTCTGAGCAACAACTGGCTCGAGCGGGAAGAGAACTGAGAGAAGCCATCCCTAGTACGAGAGGACAACAGAGCCCTAACATAAGGCCTCGTGAGTGCTACTAGCACAGCCGCTAAGACGAGAAATTCGTTGAGAATAGACTGGTCAGCGCTGAGATGACCTTCAAAGACGAGAGAGACTATCTTCAATCAAGCTAGGCTACTTGGCTCGCCCAGCCGTGCGACCCAGGCAAGTTGCCCAGGGGGTCATCTGCACTGGGCACCTTGTGCAGGCAAAAATCAGCCCTTTTCTGCTTTTTTTTTTTTTTTTTTTTTGCGTGGAGGTTTTCTGAGCATGGTCAAAGGAGCTGAAACGGTATTCACCTGTTCGCAGTAGCGAATGCAGATCCCAGGGCTCGATCCCTAGACTTTACCTTACCTGTGTACATTACCCGTGTCGACCCCAGGAGTTGAACCCACGACCTGTGTCTGTTTCCACACTTGGTAGACTGTCGTAGGGTCTGTAGATGATAGGGGTTCGATCTGTAGACCTGTAGCATAGTGGTCTTAGGGAGTTCTAGAAGTCGTAGCTGTAGGACCTCTGAAAGTTCAAGGTCGTAGCTGCTACAGTCCTGAAGGGTCAAGATCGTAGCTGCTACAGTATCCGAAAGGCCAGAGTTGAAACTTCCGGAAGGTCCTGGTACTGGCCTTTCGAAGCTGCTCACGTTTAGGCTGAGGCAAGTGGGCAAGTGGTGGAGTCTACCCGTGCTGAGTCAGCGGTCCCAGTCCCAGTCAGTCCTAGTCCAGTCAAGCAAGTACCGTACGGGACTGTGTGCACCACGGGCATGGGAAAGGGCCAGACCAACGAGCTACAGAAGTATAAATCAAGAGGCAGCACCCAGCCATTCATTCATTCCTGCGTAAGCCATGCGGAAGCGCTGCCACAGTGACTTGTGCGATGTGGTCTGCAGTGAGCCCCAAGTCGAAGTGGACGAGAAGGAAGCTTAGCCATAGCGATAGGGTAGCAGCGGCCATAGCCGCCATAGCTGATAGGAGAGAGTAGCGTGTGTGAGTGTACAGTGTGCTGCGTGTGGGATATCCAGGGTGATCCTGTGTGCGAACAGCAGTATTGAGTGAGTGATGAACAGAGAGTTGTACAGGCGCTGTGCCGCCATAGCCAAGTGGGCGCTTGTCGCTAGTTTGCTGCGCAACCTGTTTGCATGCATGAGAAGTGTGAATGAAAGTGAGTCTGATTGCAGAGCCCAAATCCGGGGTTCTTTCTTTCTTAGAGCATTGCCTGTCAAGGAGGGGGAAGGGGGGGTGGGGTATAAATTGGTTTTCAAGGGGCTAAAGGGGTCTACAGGGGAGTGCTTCGGCTGATTCTGTTGTTTTCTTTTTTATCTTCGATTCCGTGAGGAATTCTGACGTGTCCCTCAGCCAAAAGTCGTTCGTATTGCACTTCTACATATTATCTTTTTTTCTGGATTCTTTATTTTATTTTTGATTTTTTCTTTTGGTGCTGGGGGTGCCTGGAACCGGCATGTATCCGGGCACAAGCTGGGTGCCCGGGCGCCCGGACAAACAGCCTAGCACTCAAGTTAGTGCTGGCTCACCAGCAAGACGAGAATGTACTCTCTTCAGTCACGTGAGTGCTGGCTCACGGCTACGGTTCAGGAAAGGCTCTCTGATGCCTGCGTTTCTATGTGACAATGGACTAGAATATACTCTCTTCCGTCACGTGAGTGCTGGCTCACCGCTGCAGTTCGTGAAGGCTCTCTCATGCAACTAGGCCTATCTATCCGACAATTGACTATCTTCAACCAACTCAGAGCACTGGCTGGTCAGGTTAAGACGACCTTCTCGGAAGAACTGAGACCAGAGGGTTGGCTCATCTGCTAAGACCGGAATAGACTCTCTTCTCTCAGGTCAGCGTTCGCAGAGCGGTGGGGTCGTCTGCTAAGAGACGGGGTCGTCTGCTAAGAGACAAGAATAGACTATCTTCTCGCACCAGGCTCATCTGCGGAGACGAGAATAGCAGCGCCGGCTCATCTGCTAAGATGAGAATCTGTCTGCTAAGATCAGAATAGACTATCGTCTCTCAAGTTCGTGCTGGCTGAGAGCTGGCTCGTCTGCTCAAGAGTAGAATAGACCTAGCCCTGGCTGGTCTGCTAAGAGTAGAATACACCCAGCGCTGGCTCGTTGGCGAAGAGTAGACTAGACTGAGCGCTGGCTCGTCTGCTAAGAGAAGAATAGACTGAGCGCTGGCTCGTCTGCTAAGAGAAGAATAGACTATCTTCTCTCAAGTGAGTGCCGGCTCACCTCACCTGCTAAGATGACACTGAACTATCTTCTACCAGCTGAGCCAGCTGTCTTGTCTGCTAAGATGATAAGACACGAAGAGACTATCTTTGTTAAATGAGTGCTGGCACAACTGCTATGCTACGACAAGAATAAGTGGACTACCTGCAGTGCTGTCGAGTTTAAGCCCTTTCGAGAGGATAACTGGCTCACCTGCTATGATGAGAATAGACTATAGTGGACTACCTGCAGTGCTGTCGAGTTTAAGCCCTTTCGAGAGGATAACTGGCTCACCTGCTATGATGAGAATAGACTATCTTTTATTCAGTTCAAAGCTCTTCGAGAAGACGAGGAACTGCCCTATAAGCCTGCAAGGACGCACGGCCACCAGTACAGACAAGAAGAAAAGAGGAGGCCAAGAGAGGAGAGGAGCAATGAGCATGGAGAGGTGGAAAAGAAGCCCGACGGGAAAGGACAAAGATGAAAGAGAGGACACTGTCAGCGATACATGAGAAAGCAAGAGAGTCAGGAGATACCCCGCTGAGTTCGAATCCAGATGGAATCAGATGAATACACTGACGCCAGGAGTCAACCCCTTCAAAAAAGAAACCTGCGAGCTTGCTGCATCTCTCCTACATTGTGATGATGTCGTTAGCTTGTTTTTGGGCTTTCTTTTTTTTTTTTTTTT